GCCAGTAAAATACTGAATTGCGCAATTTTTACAAGCTACTACTACACAAATATAAAAGATGATGACTTAAAGTTCTATTAAAAGTTCTATTACATCTCAACTTGGGTTGGTTACAGCCGCACCCCTCACGAAAAACGAATTAGCAAAACGCTTTGTCTTGGCTGCTGGTACATTGTACGTTCTTTGGCGCCTTAAATTATAATGAGGGCTATGGGCTTCAGGAATAAGTCATGTAGTTAACTGTTCTGATTCTCGCTGATTGATCTAAATAAAGTCTTTGTAATGTCTTCATGATGTTCCCTGATAGAAGTCAAACAGGCGCGCTCTAACGCTTTCCCGTACGGCACTCTAGGAAAAATACACGCCAAAGCTCTTTTCTGAACTCTTTCTAACTCTGACTGTAAGTACTGAGGTAGAGAATAATGGAACACAGGGCAAGCGTAGTCAAGGGAGGATCTAATACATGCGCAGTAGTAGGCACTAAGATCTTCGGCTGGAACACGCGTACGTTTAAGTAGCACAAGGAAATAAATTTTCGTGGCTGCTTTCTTAACTAAACTATCTACATGATCGTTCCATGTTAGTGTGTTGTTGATGATAAGGCCAAGAAGCTTGCTAGAAGTAGTTGCGTGGATCTGAGTCCCATCAACTATAACTGGGTCGAAATGTTCCGGGGAACGACGGAAACTGATAGTAAGCTCATTAGTCTTCTCAAGGTTTAGCTGGAATAAGTTGTCCACTGACCAGTTGGAAACATGGTCCACTGCTTCTTGTGCTCTACTTTGTTGCCCCTTCGGTACTTTTTCTGACTGGGTGGTATCGTCCACGTACTTCCACATCCCTGAGGACGCACTGGGATAACAATGGAAAAAGTCTTACCAAACCTGTTCAAGCTTTGAGATTTATTCCGGTTGTAATATTGGCCTCTTAAGCTGGCACTCAGACATAAGCATGCGTGCGCAATATGGAATGAGGAGAGCACTTCCCTAACATGTGCATATCCTCCTTTGCCTCTTATAACCCGGGCAGGCCACAGGGAGCCCACACAAGTGGCGTGTCTGGTGGTTTGTTCGAAATATAAAGAAATGTATGGGAGAATATTGAAGAGTCGTAATATCGTAAACTTATATCAAGGAATGTCTATGTTAAGGCTCAAAATAAATGTAAACCTACCTCACTTGCTGTGTATTGTCGTTTCTGGGGTTCTAAATGGCGAGTTTGAGCGATTTGGTGGGTTTTGCGTTGACTGTTACTTTACGTTATAAGGAGACCTTCTTATAACGTCTTCTTCTTATACCGTGACTCCCACCGACGCAGCCCCAAAAAGTTTCTTTCGAAACTATCAGCCTTTATTCCCCTGTGGGCAGGCAGGCTATAAGATCGATATTCTAAATTCAAACCTGAAAGGGATTGATGAAATTTACAAAGTTTTAGGGAAGACTAATTGAGACCCCAACTTATCTGCCTCTCTTTTATTTTTTTTTTTAAAACAAGTTCAATTTTTTCGTGTTCGCGTTTGAAAATGCAAAACAACTTTAGGCAATTTGCCTAGCATAGTAAAAACAATTTCCGGCTTATTGGCTATAGTTGCTCTTTGTTATCAAGTGCCATTTTTGTTTTTTATCTTTTTCACTTAATTAGTGAGTTTGATGTCCACTGATTCTGTTGACGTTTGACTAATTAGCCCAGGAAATTCAATGTTATTTGTAGTTGTCTGTTTCCTGACCCAAATGTAGTGATTCCATGATTCAGTGATTATAATGCTCAGTTGATTAGCATACACACACAAGGCGTAATATAACTTGACAAAGTCTGAACTAGCGGTCCTTAGCTTTTCTTTCTGTCCTCGGTGGTTATTGTTATATTTAAAAGCTCGGCACTTAAATTTATGGATTTCAAACACCAGGAAGAGAAGCCACTCCGAGCTGATTCGTTTAGAATACAGGAGCCTCAATGCAGAACAGCTCCACAGGGAAAGTTCGTAAGCAGAAGTGTGATCGCCACAGTGTTTGCATTGATTATAGTACTCATTATTTTAGTTGTTGTCCTGGGGTCTTTGCTCGGCAAAGAAAGATGTCCTAGAAGGGAGAAGTTTAAAGGCAAGTCTTGATTAAGTTGTTGTACAGAATAAGTATATTGCGTTCTGCACGTTGCAAATCTAGCCGCGGTTGCAAACGCGCTCAATTCATTTGACTCAAGAAATGAGATTGGTGACCTCTAGGTCGACTTTCAGCTTGAAACAGAAAATTTCTTTGGTTCTATAGCTGAGACATCATCTTATCCTTCTTAATCAACGTTTAGTATAAGGGTGAGTTTTTAAAGAAATAATGATCTACTAAAGACCCAACCAAACGAAAATTATCCATGCTAGGAATGTATTATCAACTGATAATTATCTTTCTGTGTATTTGGCATTGTTCTTGGCTGTTTCTCATAGTTAGCACTCCTGCTCTGCTTTTTATAATAAGGTCTTTCTTACAAAAGAATTAAGCATGATACGAATACTTAGTGATAAAACATCACTTAAATATTCTCCCTCCATCAATGTAATTAAGTGTGAACAAAAATGATTTGTTCGTAAGTTAGGCATAGAAATATCGTTTTGCTTGTCAAAAGAGTTGACTTTTTTGAATTGATTATTTCTTGTTGCTTTTGGCGAAGATGATCACAGAGGAAGTCACATATTGATTTTGTGAGTTAATAACATATCATATAAGTTGGCAGCGACCAGATAGTCACGAAACAAAGTCAGGCAGTCTGTTTCTTATTTATAAAGAACAGCTCTCAGGAGCCTGAGGGTGAATCAGATGGCACAATCATTGAATTATTTGTTTAAGTTAACTTGCATGTATCATATATTGAAACGTGCATTAGAAAAAGGTTCACTTTCTTTACAATAACATGTCGCCACGTGATCTGTAATTGTTTTAGTTATTTGGAAAAAAACGCAAAGAACGCTTACAGTTGCATTAAAATGAAAATCAGTGCTTTTTGAATGGAATCTTAGACTTGGAGTCGTGCGCTGTGCATAATTTACTGTCACTAAAGATTGCATAAGCAGACGATTTAATATTTGTGCTTTACTTTTTAGAATAGGCTTCACGCTGGCATGTTTACGTCTGAATATCCAATTTTACTTCCAAACCTAGCTTGCAAGGTGCGGCACACGGGTAACTCTTGAGAGGATAGGGTCCCCGAAACACTGAAATGTAAAAATAATACCTTCATGAATACAGAAAGAATGTGGCAATGATTGATGAGAATTTTGAAGTGAATTTTGAGGAAATAAAGTCATTCTGTACAACAGCTATTTCATTGTCTGTAGTTTCCGTGTGATCTTTTACACATCACCAATTCACATTTTATTTTCAGGAACGATAAATCCCGAAACCACACTTCCAACAACAGTCCCTAATCCTACAACGCGTGGGAATGACATCTGGTGGAGTGTACGCCTTCCGAAGCATATCACACCCAAACATTACGATGTTTTAATTTCCGTTGACCTGAAGAAGTTCTTATTCAGTGGTGGAGTCACTATTTTGATCGATGTGAAACAAGCAACAGAGTATATTTTGGTTCATACCAACAAACTGGAAATAACTTCGGTCGCTGTCCAGCGGTCCTCTGGTGGTGAGGAAGTTTTTTTGTCATTATGAGGCCATAGTAAGACTAGTAAGAGTAAGTTTCCATAGAAACTGTGGTGCTGCGTCGGTGGAGGTAACAAGGGTTAGCGTTTTGTCAACTGAATAAAGGCTGATAGTTTCTCAAGAAACTGTTTGGGGCTGCGTCGGTGGGGGTAACGAAATAATTTAGATATATCAACAAAGTTGAAATGGCAAATTGGCCACCGTAACGATTACAAAAGCTGACGTTTCGAGCGTTAGCCCTTCGCTCAGACGAAGGGCTAACGCTCGAAACGTCAGCTTTTGTAATCGTTACGGTGGCCAATTTACCATTCCAACTTTGTTCGGATATATCCAAATTTTATCAACTGAAGTGATAATGTAAATTACCACGGTAAAGAATGAACGAACGCTCAAAACTTCAGCTTTTAAACTCTTTACGGTGGTGGCCAATTTACCTCGTCAACTCAGTTGATAAAACCAAATTACAATAGTACATTAGCCGACTATGTTATTCAGCCAGCTTTTTTGTTTCAGTTAAATTGTTGTTTTTATTAAATCAGCTGTAGTTAAAAGGATCAAATAACTGCTTACGTTAAGATTAAGCGAAGCAACTTATTTGACATTAAGTGAACTATGTATTTGACTGAAAAATAATCTTTAGTCTTGTTTTGTTAGGAGACGTTAGAGTAATGAGTCACTTCTGGTTTAAGATGAATCAGTTCTACGTTATTCAGCTGGACGGCTGGTTACAACCAGGAGAGTATATTATTAATGTAGCGTATAAATCTGAACTGAGAGAAGATTTGGGAGGATTCTACCGAATGACGTACAAGCGGAAAGACGGCACTACAATGTAAGACTGCGGAACAAATTTGATTATCTTCTAAACTGCTTTTGGACTGTAGTAAGTGAGTGAGTGCGTAGGAAGCTCTTGAAGAGCTATCAGACAATTGAATATACATAGAACACAAATGTGAAAACGTGTTACGATGTAAAATGATGTGAGTGTAATTTTAGGAAGATTTGCATAGAACATTTTGATTTGAAATGCGGAGGCGGTTTAAAGACAACCTTTCCCTGCATCTAGAGATTTCTAGACGCTCTACTCCCTGTCTGCCGGGAAAAACAGTCTCTTTATTTCTTTGCTTTGATCTTCTTTAGATAATTACTATATGACGAAAATGTTTTTTTTATAACAGCCATATTTATTGAGCGACTTTTCAGAGTACTTAGGATTTTAATTATAGTCCACTATTTATTATAGTCCTCTGGCTGCTACCCAGTTCTCCCCATCATATGCACGTGAGGCATTTCCATGTTTTGATGAACCAGCAATGAAAGCAACGTTCAACGTGACCATCGCTCATGATCCTGGTGTGACTGCTATCTCAAATATGCCTGTTTACCGTACTGAGGAGAAAGACGGATGGAAATACGATTACTTTGAGAAGTCTGTCGTCATGTCTACCTATCTGGTGGCTTTTGCTGTCTGTGATTTTAAACACACCGAGTTTAAATTGACCAAAGATGGAAAGACGGTATATCATTAGTAACAAGCATAATATAAAAGTGCAAGAGTATGGACTAAAACTAAACGAAATGATAAGATACTAAGCAGGAATATTGATGCTAATTAAGTTAAAAAAACTAACCAAGGTGAACATAACATTGATAAGATGTTTATCGATCGATCCTTTTACGATTGTTGAATGTGTCATACATACCTAAAACAAAAATAATAACTGGCTGTTTTTACACCCAGGCCTCACATCGAGTCTTACATTGAGTGATAGAGGAAAGCTTTATGATGATCGTGATGGTTTTATATTCCCCCTTTTGTTAGGTGCGGATGTATGCACCCGCGGAGCAGATTGATCAAGTGGAATACGCTTCTCAAATCACAGATAAACTTTTTAGTTTTTTCCAGGAATACTTTCAGATACCATACGCGTTGCCAAAAACAGGTATGTAAGCAGTAAGTAGGAAACTGGTTCAATTTGTGACTCTGATATGGAAGGAAGGTTAAAAGGTTAATGAGAACTTGCAAGCAGCTGTTACTGACTTTGTTGACTGACTTGGTTGCTGTTCACAGGACTGAAGGCTCAGTGAAACCCTCTCTTTTTACACTTAGGGATTCTTTGAATTAGAAAATATTTTTTTGTAAACTCACATTCTGAAAAATAGTGTTGATACCCCAATGAGTATTTGAAGCGCTCTCAAATGTTCCACAGATATGATTGCTATTCCAAATTTCATTTTTGGTGCAATGGAGAATTGGGGGCTTATAACCTATAGAGACTGGAATCTACTCTTCAAACCAAATGTATCCTCAGCAGCCAATAAACAGAGAGTTGCCGAGGTCGTTTCCCATGAAATCGCTCATCAGGTATTTTGAATGAATTGACTTAATAGTAAAAGGAATGTTTAAACAATTCTTTCTTCATCTAATCACTAACAATTTACAGTAAATCGAGCGAGTGCCAAGCGTCATGGAAAAATGCTTAGTGTTTTGACTATTATATTTTTCCTTATTATTATTATCATTGTCATTATTACTATTATTATCCATCGACTTGGATATTGAAAAAGGACATGCTAATATTTGCTAAGGCATTGAAAAAGCTAATTCTGGAGAACTCTAGCCAAAGCCAGAAATATCGAGCCAAGACGTGTTTGGCAGTTTTGTAGTCGACTTTATTTTATACCTAATACGATGTTTTTAGACTTTTTATAATGCAAATTTTTAGGCTAATTTTTTTGTCACATTTTTCTTGAAAGCTAAGCCATTATCTTGTTTTCTTCCTATATATTTGATTATTATGTAAATGGGTATTATTTTTATTGCCATAAATAAAAAGTTATCATTGCAAAAAAAGTAAAAATTATCATTGTTATTATTATTATTATTATTATTATTATTATTATCATTATTCTATTTTTGAATGACAGTAAATCATACGGATTAATTTTCAGTGGTTCGGAAATCTTGTCACCATGGAATGGTGGGATGATTTTTGGCTGAATGAGGGATTTGCCAGTTTTATGGAGTTTTCTGCCACGGATTTTATTCATCCAGAGTGGAAAATAGTAAGTACTCAAGAAACTTTGAAAGATATTAACGTGAAATTTTTACTAAGAAGTGCTCTGCTGAAATATTTCCCAGGAAGATCAACTAGTTGTAAACGATATGTCAATAGCATTCGCCGAGGATGGCCTGGCAAATTCACATCCAATCAGAATTCCTATCGCAAGACCCGATGAGATCAAAAAGATTTTTGACTCTATCACTTATGAAAAGGTAGGCAAGCTCTCATTGGTTAATGATTCTCCAAAGTAAGTAAAACGAGGCATTTTTCTTGCAAAACTTAAAATTTACAACCAGTATGAAAGGGTATGGTTTATATAATTATGTCAAAAATAACTTATCGTTTTTAGGGAGCATGCATTCTGCGTATGCTGGAGGCTTATCTTGGAAAAGAGATTTTTAGGAAAGGATTGAAGGTAAGGAAAGGATCTTTACGCTGCTGATGTACTTTGGTTTTAAAAAGTTGTCTATTCATTTTCAAAGTAATTCCATAAAGGTTTAGTTCTAGAAGAAGTTTTGAATTTCAGTCCACTTATAGACTACGACATACCCTTGACTTATATTTTTCAGCGTTATTTAAAAAGGTTCGAGTACGCCAATGCCAATACAATGAAATTATGGGCTGCCTTAAGAGAGGTTTGTAGACCCACTTAGTCTATGTCAATAGCTTGGGTAAACATGCGTGAACTGAAATCTAACAGAATGAACATGACTACTTTGGCTGAAAAATTTTATCAACCGACTTTTTGCAGGACTTTTTGCACTTTTTTCTGTAAAGTGGCAGAGCCTTAACAAGGAATATTCTGTTCGGTCTATACGTTTGTGGCTTTTAAAACTTCACTCAGGAAAGTGATTTGAATTCCCTCAGCGGGTCTGATAATAATAACTGTTATATCTGTAGGTCGATCAATTCGGCAAGACTACAGTTTAAGATTTTCCGGCACCGAACCTTGTTATTTAAAAGGTAAACTGTTCGGAAGCTCACAACCTACTGTAACTCAAATACCAAATACCGACTGATGTAAACTGATGTGAACAATTCCTTACGACGATGTTTGTTCTTTGTCACCATTGATTGTGACAGGAGAGCTGTTACCAGGGGAGATGTGTGGATGTTGATCACATGATGAATACGTGGACCCTTCAAATGGGTTACCCTGTAATCAATATCCGACATTCGACAGGCGACCAATATTCAGTTTCTCAAGAAAGGTTCCTCTACCGTTCTGATGCAAACATCACGACCGAGTATAGATCACCGTACAAGTGAGTGCAGTGCCAAATAAAGGATATCTCTTGACATCACTGGGGCAGGAACACTAGTCTTCTTTGTTAGGTTGTTTCCTGTACTTTTCATTTAGTAGTGCCGAGGCGAAGGAAGACGTGAATGTGCATCCGCACCATTTTTTCCAGGAATCCCAAATTAGTTTTATTAAAATTCTCGTTTGCTTTGGTAGTTTGAATATCTAACTCACCACACCCATGTTCTGTCTTTACAGTTATAAATGGTTTATACCATTAACGTACATCACGTCTTCAGCGCCAAGTAAAGTCATTCTGAAAGACATCAATATGACGTCTGGTAAGGATTGATATTTCTTTGAATTTTTAAAGTGATGGATTCTGAAAAAATATCAAATTTGGATTAAATAATCAGAGGTCGGACTTACATGTGCTGCATCTTTGACTAACTTTGATAAATCATAGGAAATATAACTTGGAATGGAAGAGGTTGGATTAAAGGAAATGTGGGCCAGAAGGGATTTTATAGGGTCAACTATGACGATAAGAACTGGGATGCACTTGCTGAAGCACTGAAGACTGACCACAAGGTAAGTTAGTCAGGTTGTCATTCAGTCAAAAGACAGTCACTCAGCAAATCAGTTAGTCGACGGTTAGTGAGTCATTCTGTCAGTCCGATAGTCAGTGACATAGTCAGCCAGTCAGTAGGTTGGTCACTCGATCGATTCAGCATCATTCAGTAAAGTATTCTTTTCGTCAGTCAATCAGTTAGACAGTCAGTCAGTCATTAGTATTGAAATTGAAAATAGAACCTTAGCAAAAGAGTGCTAACAACCTGCGCCCTCGTGAAAGTGACCTTAGTTTTGTTATGTTTTAGTTATTCAATATTTCGGACCGGGGAGGTGTTATAGATGACGCGTTTGAGCTGGCGAGGTGGGTTTGTAAAGTGATTCTAATAGTTTTATTGTACAAAATATGATTCCGTACCACTCAGAGAGAGAATGAAGCAGCTACCATGACATCATTTCAATAGGCCTCTATAATGCAATTGTGAAATATGGATTGTCTAGATTCATAGATTGAAAGGCACGCATCTGCATGTGTGTCTTGGGTAAGCGTTACTATGACGTATGATGACAAAATGTTCTGCAACGAAGGGCCTATGCTCGCATCGTCAACTTTTCAAAAACCCTTTGGAGATAAGTTGGTCTACCTTTATCAACTTGGGATCCCTTGGTGAAAGTGATCAAAGTGAAAATCAGAATGCTTCTGATTTATCCCGTTCATTATCCCTGCTTACCTTGATAGGAGTGAAAAGCTTAACTACACAAAGGCATTGGAATTAACGTCATATCTACGTGCTGAAGAAGAATATGTTCCCTGGCAAACGGCCTTGAAGAGCTTCAATTTTATAAGAAGCCTATTAACTCCATCTAGACCAGGGTACAAATACTTGCAGGTTAGTTGCGTTAACTATCTATAACATAGAGAGCATGAGCAATTTACAAGCATACAAAACACGCTTGGCTGTGATTGTGTCCAAGTTTAACTCTGCTGATATGAGGCATTACGCGTGGGGCAGATAATTTATAAAGGAGCTTCAGTCTGAGAGACATTTGCCAAAAACTGAAATTTTTAAAGTCTTTCAAAAGATTTTGGAGCAAAACTGATCACTAAGATTATTTTTTTCTCATTTCATTACCTTTTCCATGCACTGTGGCTATTTTACAGCTTTATTATTCTAACCCCTGTTAGCTTCCAATGACTATTTTCTGATTTTAGTGTATCACTTAAAAGAAAGTTCACTCTCATTCTTACAAATTTTATCTCATTATTGAATCTCACAGAAATACCTTGTCTACCAGGCAGAACCTATCTATAAAAGACTTGGCTTCACTGATGAAGGTTCTCACCTAGAAACGTAAGCATACAACTTTAGAATTAAAGGTTTATCATTATCTTGTTGTAATGTTTTATTATTTCTTCCTTTTGTTAGTTTCCTGCGACCAGCTATCTTAGAAATTGTTTGTGATGCAAAGGATAAAGAGTGCCGAGCAAATGCTTCGAAATACTTTCGTGATTGGATGAGAGATCCATTTCAGAACCAGTGAGTAAGAACAAGTGAATTTCTCCATAGTAATAATTGTTATTGCTGTAAATGTTGATACTGACCGGGTACTTTTCTTGTGGCCCGCTGGTTCAAAGCTCCATAACCATTCGATGTTCGGGAGATAATAGCATCGAAAACGGGACTTGAGTTAACGACGGAAAAGGAGCTTGAGAACCAAATGGATAACTAATTAGCAGAGAGAAAACAGTGCTTAGACGGCGTTACAATGGGGACGAATTTTAATGATGATTGAGTGCGCTTCTGTGCTTATTACACCCAGTTTTATTACTAGTGGTACTGTTTTGTTTATTAGCTCGGCCGAATGAGCCAATATCCACATAATGCACGGCTACTTTTCCACAACGTATCTGCTTTACATATTAGGATACCGGCAAATTTCCGCTCTTTGGTTTATTATTATGGTATCGCTAATGGAGGTCAGGAAGAGTGGAACTTTGCTTTTGATCAATTGCTGCAGACTTCTGTGGCCTCCGAGAGGATGAAGCTCGTGCACGGATTAGCTGCATCCCCAGAGCCATGGATTCTAAGCAGGTAATTACAAAATTATCAGCCATATATTTTGGGTAAGTGAGATGGTTCTCTGTAGCGCAAGTGATGGGTGTGGAAGTTTGCTTTTTAGTTCAGTTACTTATTGGTATGCGAAGTTTATACTAGGAAGAGAAAATCTGCCATTTCACCATGTCAACCACTTCTTGGTAGTGTAAATATCTTTTAGCGGCATATTAATCTGACTTGTCGGTATGCACCAATATACCTCTGCAGACATTTTAATTTGATAGCATACTTCTCTGCCTCTTTATATTATCAATTCCGTAATACTTTTAGGTTTCTCCAACTCTCGCTGGATAAAACAAAGATAAAATCCTCAGATGCACCACTCGTAATCGGAAAAGTCGCCGAGACTAGCCCAGTGGGGCAGCAGATAGCTTGGGATTTCATATTAAAGCATTGGAAATTATTAGAAGAACGGTGAGATAGGAAATGCATTCAAAAGCTTGCTTCTCCATCACGTGCACCCATTTAAACGGTGTTCGTTAATTTGATTACCGGAATTTGATCCCTTAAATCACTCAAAAACAATGGGTGAGTTTTCAAATGCTCTCTATCAAATATAACAAATGTGGTATCGCATTACCCCAATTAAACAGCTTCGACAAGTGACGAAAAAAGTCTTTCTCTGTTTGCTTGATTCCGGTTCTTCTTTGTGAACAGAAAGGTAATTTTAAAATTTGTTTTTAACAGTGTTCAAAGAAGCTTAAAAAAATGTCCCGCAAATCCTGTCAGGATCTGCACTGAGCTGATCCAGTGACTATTGGTTCACTGAGGTGACTTACTAACGGTTTTGCCATTGGTTACTTTATTCGAAGGTACGGTGAATCCCTTTACATCCTCAGGGGCGTATTAGATTCAGTGACTAGTGGCTTCACGAATGAATTTCAACTTCAGCAGGTAAGCCAGATAGCGAACACTTAAAAAAAAGGAATAGTGTACAAGACTTTTGTTTCTTGTCAACTTGTGTGCTAGGTCCGTGGTATATTGAAACATTGGAAGCTTAAACCTAGTATCCTTTTTTGAGTTCATTTCGAGCCAGTCCTGTATCACCTCAGCATCTTTCTGCTATTACCATTCCTGTGTAATTTATGGATCTCTCTTGTAGTACCATCCATGCGTTATCCATACAGCTCTAATCTTGTACCGTCCCTGTGTTATCTAAGTACACATCTCTCACATAGCACCGTGGCTGTGTTATCCATACATCTCTCCTCTACAACTGTCCCTGTGTTATCCAGACATCTCTCTTCTA